TGAGAATAAAATAAAATGGGTCCGGTATGATCGTGGTGGAGAGTACTTTTCTAATGAGTTTGATTTGTTCTGTGCGGAACATGGTATTATTCATAAGAGGACGCCTCCCTACTCACCCCAGTCAAACAGGTTGCCGAACAGAAAAACTGTACTCTAACTGATTTGGTCAACCCATGTTAGATACATCGGGTTTATCCAAGGCATGGTGGGGGGAGGTTGTATTGACATCATGTCATGTCCTGAATAAAGTTCCCACAAAGGATAATGAAACTACTCCCTATGAGCAATGGGAAAAGAAAAGAACTACACTCTCTTACTTACGTACTTGGGGCTGCTTGGCGAAAGTCAACGTGCCGATAACCAAAAAGCGGAAGTTGGGACCAAAGACTGTGGATTCCGTTTTTCTTGGCTATGCCAAGCATAGTGTTGGCTATAGATTTCTAGTGGTGAAATCTGACGTACACGACGTGAAGGTCGGTACGATCATGGAGTCTAGGGATGCTACATTCTTTTAGGACATTTTCCCCATGAGAGATATGCAAAGCACTTCTAGACTAGAATCTGACGAGACTCCTGAACCTGCCATTCCGATGGAATATTATGAACATAAAAGTGATGAGAGTTCCACGAAGGATGATGAGGAAGCTCCTGTTAGGAGCAAGATACAAAGGACTGCAAAGTCCTTTGGTGATGATTTCCTCATGTACCTCGTGGATGATGACACTCCCAGTTCCATTTCAGAAGCTTATGCATCTCCGGATGCTGACTACTGGAAGGATGCGGTTCGTAGCGAGATGGATTCCATCTTGGCTAACGGGACATGGAAGATCACTGATCATCCTTATGGTTGTAAACCATTGGGATGTAAGTGGGTGTTTAAGAAGAAGCTTAGGCCCGATGGTACTATTGAGAAGTACAAGGCTAGGCTTGTGGCCAAGGGTTATACCCAGAAAGAAGAAGAGGATTTCTTCGACACTTACTCACACGTGGCTAGACTGACAACCATTCGAGTGTTACTCGCTTTGGCTGCCTCACATGGTCTCCTCGTTCATCAGATGGACATTAAGACGGCTTTCCTTAACGAAGAGCTAGACGAGGAAATTTACATGCAACATCCAGATGGCTTTGTAGTAAATGGTCAGGAAAGATAGGTGTGCAAGCTAGTGAAATCCTTGTATGGCCTGAAACAAGTGCCTAAGCAATGGCATGAGAAGTTCAACACTACTATGACATCTGCTGGCTTTGTTGTTCTGACAAATGTGTATACTATCGCTATGGTGGGGGTGAAGGAGTTATACTCTGTCTGTATGTCGATGACATACTGATATTTGGGACCCACCTCAAAGTCATTGAGGAGATCAAGGCTTTTCTATCTCATAACATTGAGATGAAAGACATGGGTGCGGCTGATGTTATCTTGAACATCAAGCTACTGAGAAACCCTGAGGGTGGAATTACACTTTTGCAATCCCACTATGTTGAGCAGATTTTGAGCCGTTTTGGATATTTGGACTGCAAACCTTCTGCAACACCATATGATCCTAGCGTGCAGATTCGAAAGTTCGAAGGCACGGCTATAGATCAATTGAGATATTCTCAAGTGGTTGGTTCACTCATGTACCTAGCATGTGCTACTCGTCCTGACATCTCATTTGCTGTGTGCAAACTGAGCCGGTTTGTTTCCAATCCGGGAGATGTGCATTGGCATGCTGTTGAGCGAGTGATGCGTTACTTGCAAGGTACTACGAACTATGGGATTCACTATTTTGGGTACCCGACGGTACTTGAGGGGTATAGTGATTCAAATTGGATATCTGATGCTGATGAGATGAAAGCCACAAGTGGACATGTCTTCACACTTGGTGGTGGTGCTGTTTCCTGGAAGTCTTGCAAGCAGACGATCTTAACCAGATCGACTATGGAAGCAGAACTCACAGCATTAGACACATCATGCGTCGAAGCAGAATGGCTTCGAGAGCTTTTGATGGACTTGCCGGTGGTTGATAAACCAGTGCTGGCTGTCCTTATGAACTGTGACAATCAAACCGTGATTGCCAAGGCTAAGAGTTCAAAGGATAACATGAAATCCACAAAGCACATAAGAAGAAGATTGAAATCTGTCAGAAAATTAAGAAACTCCAGAGTAATAGCGTTGGATTATATCCAGACGGCTAAGAATCTGGCAGACCCTTTTACTAAAGAGCTACCACGGATTGTGATAGAAAATGCATCAAGGGAGATGGGTATGAGACCCACGTAAGTTACCATGGGGGTAACCCAACCTATGTGATCGGAGATCCCGTGAATTAGGACCTGGGAAAACAATCCAGCGGTTAACTGAGGAGAGTATCCTTAATAAACCCACTCCGTTGGAGATGCAGTACTACTCTCAATTCTGTAAGGCAGGCTGACTTTTGTCTTAATGTGTTCCAAAGCTTGTGTAAGCAAGATGCTAACCTACAGAGCATTCTTTGGAGGAACACACCTATGTGAGTTCGACTGCAACAGTCTATGAGATTGGGTGATCTCTAGGAAGCTCATGAGAAGGTACGGAGTATGACTAATAAGCTCCACCCGTGGGGTTTAGCCTTCGACAGCCACGTATCAGCTGACAATAGGCGAAACTTCTGCACGCCAAACTGACAATTCAAGGCATAGTCCATTGTTCAGTTGTGAAGAAGTCTAATCCTGTTGCTCTAGGTGGAAGTTCAACTTAACAGTCTCCACTGAAATTTCTGATACATCAAACATTGTTTGGAACAGTTGACAAACTTATGTGCCTCAAGATCTGGTGGGGGGTTGATGGATTATGGATGGGCTTAGGCCCATATAAGACACTAATCCCTGGTTAATCTTGAGGCCCGTGTGTGAGATGGCAGGTGGTGGGAAGTTTAGTCCCACCTTGCTAGTTGAGGAGACTTGAGACCCCTTTATAAGGGCTGCTTTACCACTTGCCATTGGGAGCTTGGGAAGAGGAGTGGTACACGCGCGCTCCTCCTCCGCCGCCGCCCGCCTCGCCTCGTCACGACGCGCTTGCGTTGCCGGCATTCGTCAACTCCCTTGTCGGGGAGTGCGTCGACTCAGTCGTGGGCTTCCGCCCCAGCCCACGACTTCTACCCGACGGCCTATATAAGAAGGCTCTGCCCAGTGGAGTGACCTAGTTCGGTTCAATCACTCCCTCTCGCGTAACCTAGCCGTCATCTACTGTTCCTTGCTCTGTGCTGCTTCCGGTGATCCCATCCCGACGACCGCGTGCACGATTGGTCGGGAGAGCAGGTGCCTCTGGAACCCTGCCGTTCGAGATCCTGCCCGAGAGAACAGCAATAAGGTTTTTGGGGAGCGTCTCGTCGCGACTGCTCCCGATCTGTCCCCAGCTCCGTCAGCCTCTGCTTCCACTACTTCCCCTGCATCAACACCATGGCTGACGACGCCGCCGCCAAGAAGAAGGCCAAGGACGAAGCCGAGGCTGTTGTTGCCGCTGCCGCGTTGGCCTGGCCAACCGGAGGGTATCATCTGTTCATCCCTCATTTACTCGTGCTTCTGCTAGCCGTATATGTGCTGCTCATAGATGGTTTGCTTCTATGTTCTGTACGTGCTAGTATGCCTAGGAATCGGTATGAGATGCATACCGTATTTGCCATGCTTACTGTTTACTCGTGGATTAGTCTAATCAGAAAAGTGTTAATATTTCCAACCGGTGTTTGGTAAGGTTTTCATTTTGTAGGGCATGCTGTTTCCTCTAAGCCAACAGGGCCGTCTCGTGGTTGTGGCAGCATTTGATCGGAGTCGCTGCAATCTTGCTCCAGTTGGTCCGCAGCCCCGAGATGGAGTGGAACAACTCCAGAAGAGTGACAACGGCATTGGCATGCATCTCAGTCCGGGATGGGCTGATGAAGAGCACAACGTCATCGGCGTATATTGAAACTCGGGAAGGCATGGTGATTCGACCGATTTGCTGAAACACTTGGCTGCGGCAGTCCGCTTCCAAGAGGGCCGTCAGGGAGTCCATGACGAGGACCAAGAAAGAGTAGGGGCGATAGGGGCCGGGTCGCCCTGTCGAAGCCCTCTGCGATGACGAGTTGACGACTAATGCAAATCTTGTTTGGTGGATCAAGTGGCCAGGAGACCGGCGACCCAATTTATCCATCGGATTCCAAACCCTCTTGCGCGCATCAGATCAAGCAAGAACTCCCAGGAAACACTGTCAAATGCCTTGGCAATATCGACCCATCTTCAGGAGGATGGCCGGCGTCTTTCTCGCTTTGATTTCAGGGTTTTGATCATGGCCTGGACATGCATAAAGTTGTTGAGGATGGATCTTTTTTTTTGTGAATGCGCTTTGGCAGGGGGAGATCAAATCATTCATGATATGTTGCAGCCTCCTTGCCATCAATTTGGCGACGCTGTGGATCAGGCTAACAGGCCTGAAGTCAGTGAGCTGCGTTGCGCCCTTGTGTTTCGGGATCAAGATCATGGTCGCTGTGTTCAGGGCGTGGAAATTGGAGGCGTTGCAGTTCACAAATTAACAAACAACGCTAACTGCACAAAACAGTAATGGATATTTACATATTTAGCCACTTGCTTAGAACTCTGACCGGAATTATGCCACAATTCATATTTCCGGCATGATCATGTTCTAAAGATACGTAAGATACGTAATATACCTTGGTACTGTATTGGGCCATGACCCCAAAAGTCAAACGCAGAATTGTAACAGAGATTCAGAATACAGGGCTGCCAGCAACCCAGTGTCAGGAACCTGGTTTGGATCTTCTGATCAAAGGTCTTTCAGTACGCAAATTCTTCAGTGTCTCAAACAGACCAATATTTTTAATCAGGTCCAAGTGCAATAAATTGAAATGGAGAAAACATAACGGTGGTACTGCAGAAATAACTGCTCTACAGGCGAAAGAGCTAACAAGTCCCTCAACGGTAAAAAGAAGCAAGAGTTGAATAACAGCCTTAGTAGGCTGAGAAGAATGACGATAAGCTCTCAAGTATCAAGTCTTCGTGTCATCGCCCTCGCTGTGATTCTGAGAAGAAATGCCAGCATTTGAACTTGAAGCACCAATCTGAAACATGAGTAAGGTTCAAACACAAGACAATGGTACTTTCATCACACATCAGGAAAAAGTCTAGAATTCCCATTACAGGAAAAGATAACAGCATGTTTTCAGTTCCTTTAAAAAGAAAAGGTGCACAGACAGCATAATAATCATGTCGCCAAATTTTGAACTTGAAGCTCAAACGGGAAAACGGGAAATGGAAAATTTAACATTTACCAATCAATCCATGCTTCCTACTCTGAATGTTCCTCAAGTCTTGTATGTTAATTTGTCTGCTATATAAAGCTGTACGATGTAGAACAACTTTAAGTACCTCTTACATTACTTGACAGCAACCAAAGTAACTTTTAGTTCCAAACACAGCTGCACAGCTATGCTCAATTAACCATTATTCACTAAGTCTGCCAGCAAATGTATAAGAATGGGACTGAAAGCAATACCATGCCATTAAAAGACAATAAAACTTGGCAGAACCTATATCTATGTCTGTAAGTCTGAAAATACAAGTTAAGAAAGGAATCAACACGTAAAGTGTTTTGCAACCAACCCAGTTCCCAAATTTAGGGCACTTACACAAACCTTGATGAAAAAAATATTTCTTACTGATGCAAAATTTGTTGATTGTGGGGTACGGGCTACCTACCTAACAAATCAATGAACACGACAACTAGACAACTTGCACACTTAGCAAAAAGAACTAAAGTACAGGTGTATGCATAAATTGAAATATGGGATGGAAAATAATTGCATTATTACAAGGGGGGTCATTCATTTGTATGACATGAGATAATCCAATTACTTTGCTTATATATTTCATAAGAAACTATTTCTTTTATTCCGGAAGAGATTAAAACAGATATTGGAGACAAGAACTAGCGAGCTATAGCAGAAAGGTAAAATATGAAAAAAATTAGATCAAATGTAAACTTTTACCTGGTCATCTACAGCACTATCAATCATGTCAAAGATACTATTTGTTGTCTGCATCATAGCCTGTAGACAAGTTTAACTTTATTCATTTGACATGTTTCAACGAAAAGTCGTCAATGATCTGGCTTGTAAATTTAAAACACTATACCTTTATAATAGTCTTACTATTATTAATACGAGCAATTAAATTGTCCTGATCCAGCTTCTGTGCCACACAATTAAGATGCCGGAGGGGTCTTGTCTGCTGGAGTCTCATGCAAGGCATGTGTTACAACAACGATAATGGTGCACTCAAACATTCATATGCCTTCTGCTTTTCAAATGATTAATGCCTATTAAAATTTAAATGTGAAAATAAAGGTATGCTGACGTCCATTTAGGTAAAGAATTACCTGGTCTGGAAAGTTTGGAAATATTTGATTAATTTTCATGCCTATTTCCCGTCGAATCGCATCATCCAATATATGTTGCAGTATCTCATTGAACCATATGCCATTTTGTTGTGCACATGCCTGCCAAATAATGAATTTCCGTTAAATTTCTGCAACTCAGCTATTGTTAAAATTTCCAGAATAATGAATATCTGCTAAACTCAATTTGAATGCAGTCGACATACAATTCCATTAAGCTCAACTTGGTGAATGACACTGCACAATTTTTCATTCTCAGAGAGCCCACGCTCCCACGCCTCCCACTTGTTCAATTCCCAGCCTTCCCACTGTTTTGGCCTACACACAATTTTAGCATTCTTGTATACATCTAAACGTACAAGTGACTTCACACAGTTGTGAGATTGCAAGTTGTGCCTGCAGGGACTGAAATCTAACAGCTTCACCATCTTACTTGAATCAATCTCGAAGTTCTCACCAAGCAACTCGTACGAACATACGTTATTGCGGCCGCGTTGTGTGAGGATCCTATCCCTGTGAACAAAACGTGGACCCAGAATATAATCTGGTGGGTACTTAATGTTGTACTTCTGGCTCCACCTTTGCTCTACCATGTTGTCAAGTGCCCAGATCTGCAGCTCACCGACAAGAGTTCTGGCATCATAACGACTAGTTTGAGCAGTCACTATACATATTTTCCCATCTATATCTCTGATCAAGAACTTACGAGAACCATAGTAATCATGATCTTCGCGTGCTGCTGGCAGTTGTATCATTGCAAAACTTTCTTCCCTGATATCAAAGGACATAACTGCATGCTGCCAGCTAGCTGACATGTCTTCAGTTAACCAATACATTTTTCCATCAACATTGACAACTCCAGAGTTTCTCACACTGATCAAGCTAAGAGCTTCTGGAGTTCGGATATCTTTCCATTTCTCATCACCAAGCGTGTAAACTTGAATGATGTTGAACCTGTCTTTATTATGGGGGCGACCATTAATGCAATCACCAAGGAAGTGTGTAATCTTGTATTCTTTTGTCACGGGATGAAATCCAAAGCTATAGAAACAGAAATTATCACCTTTCAGATTCTTCACAGGTTTCCCAAGATGTAGACATTCACCAGTTGCAAGGTTAGCTATCTTGATCGTTGATGTCTTTGTGTATAAGCCAAGAAGGCCATTGCATGAACCAAAAAGAAAATCACCAGGCCCAATCACTGGCACTATATATGTCGATGGCGACCAGGCTTCATCAATTAGGACAGCATCACTAGGGTAGTGCTTGCCTGAAACCAAACCTGACGGGAAGAACAGAAGGGCATAACTTGGCGCACACTGGAGGTGCAATGCAACAAACTGTGGATCCCGGATGATGTTGTGCCAGTGCTTGCAGACTCCGACGCACGTCAACAGAGTGCTCACTGGAAGTCCGAAAAACACCCGCTCAACGAGGTCCCCTGGGAGGTGGTTTATGATGCATTTCTCATTTATTTGCTTCATTGATTTGGTTTCTTCAGTGACCACAGTGAGCACCCAATGCCGAAGCAGCTGAAATACCAAACCCTTCTGCGAACACACATTACAATTAATGATAGCTACATAGAAACTGACATTTAAGTAATTTCATGGGCAAAGAAAGAAGTTAACATTTATGCATTTTTTTTTTATTTTTTGTCTCGCTTTCAAGGTAATTTACCAACCAATGTGCAGGAAGATATTGATAGCATCTCCAAATTTCTGCTCCGAAATTTTGACTACTCCAGGCTAAAAAAAAGTAACAATCTCTAGTTACCCAAAAAGTGAACCCACGGTCAAAAACAAATCTCTCATGTACCAAAAATGCAGGCTACTGTCAAATCCAACGAACACTCGTGCGCGCCGTCCCTCCGGCGCCTCAATCCCTCAACTTCAGCAAGTAGCTACAAACCCTAGACGCCCTCGGGCGCCATTACAGCAAGTAGTCAGCCCCTCAACCACGTCAAGTAGCTACAAACCCTAGCCGCCGTTACAGATGGAGAAGCGCGGACAAGAAGGATATTGGGGGAGAAAGCATTCCGCGAGCGAAAGGGGGCATCGAGGACTCACGAGCGCGATTCGGATCAGACGAGCTCCGCCGTCGCCGCCATTGGATTGGGATGGGAGGGCTCTCCGCTTGACGGTGAAACGATTTCCCGCCGCTTCCCCCCTCGTCAGCTCTTCGACCCCTTCTGGCGGCTCCGGGGTTTCGCCCAAGAGGAACAAGTTCTTTCTTTTTTAGCGTGGCGGAAGAGGAACGAGGTGTTTTATGCTGCGCAGGCCAGGTTCGGCCCAATTAGCCCAACTTTTTTCTTTAAAAAAATAAAAAGAACTTTGGTGGATCTAAAACTTCAAGGCTGCCCTGTTTTCTGGACGAAGGCTTTGCCATTTTCCATTGGTTCCCACTTGATATATCATGGGTAGAATTTGCACTATTCACTACACGAGTGAAGTAGAAAAGCTTAGTGCACAAAATACTTATTACTTCTGAATATGTTACAATAACCAGTTGCTTAAATCTCCATCGAGAATTACACCATAATTCATTCATGTTTCAGAAGTAATTCATTCATCTGCTGCCTACACCTATACTGGACCATGACCACCGAAGGCAAACGCAGAGCCGTAATCAGAAATTCAGAACACAAGGCGCTCCAACACTGCAAAGCCAGTACTGTCATGTCAGGAGGAACCTGGCGGAGGGAGAGGCCAGTGCGGCGTGCGAACAATGGCCGCCCCGGCGTACACGTCCAACGGGACGAGCGTCTCCTTGTACAGGTACGCCTGCGTCTCGTAGTACCTGTAAGGCCTGAAATTCAGCAGCCTCACCTCCTCCCCGCCGTCCTCGTCGCCCCGCAGGTCCCGGCAGAACGCGTCGCCGTCGCGGCCGTGCAGCAGAACCTTCCCCCCGCGGACGAAGCACGGCTGCGGGACGCACCGCGGCGCCGACGGCGACAGGTCGACGCTGTACTTGAGCGACCACCTGTCCTCGCCCCGGCTCTCGAGCGTCCAGACGTCCATCCTCCCGGAGACCTCGGCGTTGTAGCGGCGCCACCGGGGAGCGCTGCTGCTGAAAGGGGCTGTCACCAGACAAACCTTCTTCTCCACCTCCGTCACGTAGTAGGACAGCGCGGGGGCGCCGCAGGGCCCGTCCGTCGCCACGCCGCACGCTCTCAACGGCGGAGGCCTCAACGTCACAAAGGTCTCGTCCTTGAGATCGAACGCCATGACCGCCGCGCCGCAGCACGCCCCTTCCTCCTCCGATATCCAGTACATCGCGCCGTCCACGTTGACGACCCCGAGGTTCACCAGGCAGCTCTCCCTCGGCGCCCTGACGTCCCGCCACCCGTCCTCGCCGAGGGTGTGCACCTGGATGGCGTCGAAGCGGAACGGCTGCCCCGACGACCGGCCGTGCCGGGGCTCGCGGAGGAAGTAGACGAGCTTGTACTCCCCCGTCGCCGGGTGGAACCCGAAACTATAGAGGTAGTACAGGTCACGGAGCGATCTCCCGTCGGGCTTCGAGAGGTGCAGGCGCTGGCCGGTCGCGGGGTTGACGATCTTCAGCGTGTACTTCCGGTAGAAGCAGAGCAGGCCGTTGCATGACGCGAAGAGGTGGTCGTCCGGATCCATGGAAGACGCCGCCCACGTTGACACGGACCATTTCTCGTCGAAGAGCTTCACACGGCCAGGCATGGCGGTCTTGAGGCTCGCCGAGGCGTCCAGCCTCGGCAGGAAAAGGAGGAGGTGCTCGGGTGCACGATTGGCATGGTCCATGATGAAGCAGGGGTCGCTGATCACCCCGCGCCATTGGTGACACGTCCGGCAGAGTCTCTGCAGAGTGCTGACCGGAAGCCGGAGAAGTATCTCGTGCAGGACGTCTGGTGTGAGGCGGCTGATGCTTGCCAACTGATTTTCGGTTGCCTGCTCTTGCTCTGCATCGTTTGTGTCACTGGCCATTTCCAAGCACCTTTTTTCCCCTGTGAAAGTTGTGCCTGACAAGTCCTGTAATATGCCATAAAATTGGAAGCTTTCAGAAACGGAAGGTGCTAGTATATCTATAATCGATGAAGATTGATTCAGTTCTAGGATCATGCGATCACTTCGAACTTTTGACAGAAACAGCCCATTTTTCAATGGGAACGGCTTATCAGATCCAAGAGGGGAAAACCGTCCATCTTATGTATTCGTTAAAGACAGATGATTGCTTGTACTATTAGTTAACACACCATCCCCGCCTATATAGAATACTATTGAACATCTTAAGCGTTGGATTTTCATTCTGCCAAACAAATAGTACTATTTGATTATGCTGACTAAGTTTTCAGTATATTTGTGCTTCCAGAACAGAATTCCTTCCAAGAGAATCGGCTTTGCTTTGGTCGTATACCCTCGGAAAAGAAGGCATTCTACTATTTTCAGTCACTGGTCTAGCATGTACTACTAGCTCTGATTTTCAACTTGAATTGGTTAGAATAGCCCTGCAAAGCTGCAAATGAAGTTTGAAGTGTTCCGCCGCGCAGCCTGGGGTTGAAACGAAGGCACGGCCAACTTTTTCTAGTAGATGCAGCAGCAACGAAGGACCATGAACTGGAGCAGCAGAAAGCCTTCAGGGCGCATCCAACAAAGCCACTAACACGCCTACGCATACTAACCCATCACTCACTCATTCTACAGGGTTCTAGTCCAAGTTGCTTCCAGTTCCAGGTTCCAGTTCATCCCCAACTTCAAAACCACTTAGCTAGCCACACAAGACACCGCGGCCGAATCCGAAACCAGGTAAAAAGATTGCTGGAATCTGAAGAAAACTTACAGCGGAATCATCAACAAAGCCCCCAGGCGAAGAAGAAGAAGAAGAAGAAGAAGAAGCCCGCGGCCACAAGCTTAATCCCACCGTTATCCTCCGGGAGTGCTACTTATCGACCTCCTCTCTGGCAGTAACTAGCCGCCGTGGACGCAAGCATCGCACTCCAGGTCTCCGCAGTTACCGCTATCCGCTCTCTGATTGCGTGACGGCTTCTTCAACCACCGGTAGAATCCAAAATCAGAAAAATATCAAGGACATTGGCCCAGCAAGCAGCAAAGGCCCAGTATTCAAATGGTGGACAGTACCGGACACATACAACAGCATGGCTCCCTACAAAAGTACAGACGTCTACACTCTGTGTGAGCAATAATCTATTCGTTAGAAGATCTGAAATATCTTTTGAAACTTCCAATAAGCATATACATCGTGGGGGCAACATGCACACTTGCAGTATTTGATGTGGAAGATTTATTTTTTAGCAAATGGTTCGGCATTATTCAAGTTGGTGCAGCTTAGATGGTACTCTGTTTCGAATTATAAGATATTTTAGCTTTTCCTGATTCGCAATGTATGTAGAGTATGGATTCACTCATTTCACTCTATGTGTAGTCCATATTGAAATATCTAAACCATCTTATATTCCATGTGTGGGGGGCCATTCTTGGTGGGCAGGGATCACGCGAGATGACGAGGACGGGGCAGAGACCCACCTGTCATGCACTTGGCGACTACATGGAGGGGCGACTCTACGGGCGACGCCACGGGCGGCCTCATCCGCCGGGGAACGGCGGGTTGGGGGCGGTTCTGGGCGCTGTTGGACGGCGCCGCAGACACGTATGACGAGGACGGTGACTCGGACGGCGAGGAGCCGCCGGCGAGTTCTCCGACGCCGTCGGACGCGATCTGTGAGGCGTTGAGGGTTGGATACTCCGAGAACGAGGTGGCATTACTCGTCGACTTGGCGATCCCCCATGACGATCCGGCTAGGCTGGACTGAGGGAAGAGGATAACGTCGAGATAGTCCGCCGAGTCGTCCATCGTCGTAAGGTGGCTTCGGTGATCTGGCCTTGGCGCGGTCCTCAAACCTACCTTGTTAGATTTTCCGAGGCGGGAGCTTGGAAGATGGTTCAAAGAAAGAAGAAGAAAAACCCAGCGGCGGCCGGCCGGTCGGCTGAGATCCATGAAGCGCGGATCCAGCGTTTGAATTTTTTGCTGGGCTCTGTTGGGCCCGATGTGAATGCGGCGACTGGGGGCCGGTCTGCTAATGGGTGTTCGGCCCAGCAATTGCCGAAACAGAGTGGGCCGGGGTTATAGCTGGGTATGAGGCCCAGGCTAAACCGGACTCCACCTTTGTTGAGAGCACCGGCACGTGCATGTTTTCGATCGATCGTCGATCGCAGTACTCGTCTTCGCCACCTCCTAGGGTTCGACGACGTTGTGCGGTTCCGGGCTTCCCTGCGTGCGGTCCCGGGCGTGCGGCTCGTATTCCTCCCCTTGCAGCCATGGCTGGGCAGGGTGGTGGTGCTCCGTCGGGTCCGAAACCTCCAATGGCCGCCGGGACTGTGCCGGCCGGGTGTGGTGGTGGTGGTGCTCCGCCGGGTCCGAAGCCTCGGGTGGTCGCTGGGTCCGTACCGGCCGCGGCGGGTCGAGGTGGTTTGCTGGGGCCTAGGCCGCCGGCGTC